CTGAAGGGCAGCTAGGGGCCATAGTCTCAGTGGTTCCACCAGGCTCTACCGGACCAGCAAAGCTGGTCCCCCTTTTTTTTTCCCCAAATGATTTTGAATTTTTTCCCACATTGTTCTCCCTCTCTATCCAGGATCTCCTACAGAGAGCCCCCTCTGAGCAGTTGACATTGGTAGCCAGGTACCGTCTAGTTCTTCTGGTCTCATAGTTGTATAGGCTGAGGATCACATGGTCTACCAGTCGCAAGGACTAATTGTTTCCATGAATCTTTGGTTTTCTTCATTCTTCTTTGCTCTGGATGAGAAGAGGTGTCCTCTGCGACTATGGTCCCAAGCCCACAGGTTCAACTACTCGGTCCCTCTGGTAACTGACTGTGACCAAGAGTGACCAAGAAGTGACTACAACCTTGTCCCTTGTCAGCTCTACCATACCCCTGGGAATTCTTACAGAACATACAACAGATATACTCGTAGAACTATTGTCTGCCAACCCTACACATTGTCTTGGGTACACTCCCTGCTGCACAGACATACCTACTAGTTCAGCCTGTCCACCCATCTATGCACCTGTATACCCGTGTCTGCCTTCACTGACCACGCAGTGCTGTATGTGCACGAGAGGCCCTCTGGCAGTCAGCACAGCGTGGGCTCCTTTCTTCCTGGAGTGAGGAGTGGTTGGGGTGAGCATGGCGGTTTTTAGTGTGTGCACGGGTCACCTTGGGGAAGGCTGGTGCATTGGGCTGGAATGATTTTGTGACCTGGGCCTAGGGCCCTGGACATTAAGGGGTGTCACAGATGCCCCGTGCAGCAGGACTGACTCAGCTTGGTCTTCTGACCATTTGTTATGGGTTCAATTGGGGCCCCACAAGAGATAGATTGTGGTCCTAACCCGTGTACTGTGACCTTTGGGGAAACAGTTAAATTTATGAGGTCACACTGGAGCAGGGTGGGTCTTAGTCCTAACGCCTTCTGTGAGGGAAACAGACATGAAGACAGCATTACACACAGGGGAAAGGCACCATGTGACAACCTACAAGCAGCAAAGGAGCACCAATGACCGCTGGGAGCCACCAGAAGCTAGGAGGGAAGCCCTGAACAGCTCCTCTCAGAAGGAATCAACATGGCAGACACCTTGATTTGGACTTCTAGTGGAGACACACGAAACAGGCTCTTGAAAGCTCCTCACCCAGTGGTACTGTGCTGTGCTTGTCCGAGGAGGCTAAGACAGTACTGATAGCAGCTCCTTGCCTTCTGGAACCTGACCTCCTCTCCGGGTGACTGGTCAGCTGAGGCCCGGAGCCATTCTTGTGTCCACACCAACCTTTATCCCAACTCTTAGTTTCAACCATCAGTACAGCTCCTGTTTCCTAGAGGGCTCATTTCCAGACTACGGTTTTAGACTTGCCTTGTCCGAAGCTAAACTAAATGGGGACAATATTTCACAATTACTCCATTACAATTCACCAGTTACAGGCAGATGCCACCACAGCATTTGAGTGGCTTCTTGAAAGTGTCTGAAGGTACAACGGTCAAAAGGCCCAGGGCCATCGCTGATGTGGAGCATCTAGAACTGTGATGAGGCCATGTCCCTCCAGTCCCAGCTTGGTGGCCAGGGAGTTCTGGGGCTGGGTGTGGGGCTGGGAAGCAGGCAGGGCTTCCCTTCGCCTCCGAATCACTTCCCTTCCAGTTGTGCAACCGAACATGAGCATGGCTGTCACTCCAGTGCCCCACAAAGCAGCAAGAAACCCAGTTTCGAGGCACCTTTGAAATAAAAACCCATGTATCTTCACAACACTCACTGATTTTTATTCCATTAATACCCATTCAGCGTGCATTGCATATCTGTTACTGGGGCAGAAAGAAAATGATATTCACCACAGCACTGCAGCAAAGATCCCCCGAAAAGGAGCTGAGTCAGGCCTCCAGCGCCGGCTGCCAGCTCGGCG